TTGTTAGAAAATGTTTATTTACTATTTATTCAGGTTTTTAAGGTATCTAATATTTTGATACTTAATTACATGATATTAATAGAATCCATGATCTAAATAAATTAAAAGTTTGTTGTCATTTGAAAGTGTGTAGGCCTTCTTGCATTATTATGCTGTTACATTATGATTATATATTCAGTGGCATAAAATAGTCTTTAAAATGACAATAATATTGCTTATCGCAATTATTTCTGGGGCAATATATCGCACAACAAAAAGTTGTTATCGTGACAGGCCTAGCTTCAATAGCATATTAAAAGGCTACAACAACTTCACAATGCTTCTGAAGTAATTAAACTTGCAGCTTCACTATTATTATAGACACACTGCACAGACACAGGTAATTTACCCACACACAATCATTAATTCACAGCTGTGGATTTTCCCTTACATTCAGTATTGTTTGTGCAAAATGCATTAATATTAAAACAATACGACATCCTTGAACATGAAAAACAATATAAATTACACAAAAATTCAGAACTAAGCCAAGTGTAATTGCATTTCAACGAGACATATTAGCGTAGAGAACTTACTTGAAGAGATATTTGGCCCACACGATGCAGTGAATGGGTTCTGAGGGAGTGTTGCGAATGGTGCAACCTGGGAAGGTTTTCTGCGTGGGTTTAGGCTGACACTCGTAGCACTCCGTTTGACCCTGCAGTTTGCAAATTTACAAAATGTGAATGCCAAGAGCGTGACATTGAGATGAATACAGCAACATGTGCCAAAAAAAAGTTGCTGATTTAATAGAAGAGCCTTGCCTTCTTGATAACTGTGACTTGTCCCAGATAGCCAGCCGTGCCGCTCTCAATGAGGGGAATGTCAGCGGCCAAACACATCCTGTTGACGTGATTCCTGGCCGCTGCAAGGGACAAAATGTCAAAAAGAAAAGACATTTTAGTAATGTAGCGTTCCTTAACTTTTATCAAAGTCGGCTAAATAATTCATACCTCTGTTGTCCAAAGCATTCATGACAAGCTGGAAATTTCGGAAGAATTCCACGTTGTAATCTGGGCTGCAAAGTGCAAAGAAAAAAACACATTGGACCTCAGTTTTTGACCTTAGAATTAGTGCTTTCTATAGTATCCACAGACAAATTAACTTTTGAAATGCACTAGCAAATGTTCATACACCAAGTCTTTATCTTGGTAATATGTAACTGGACTCACTTCATGATGCTGTCATGGTAGGCAGTGATGTTTGCAGATGGGCAAAACCGAAGCACACTCTCCTTGGCAACCTGAAACATGCTAATAAATCATTGTCTGATGCAGATTTCTAAATCACACATGTTGAAGTCAGTTATACGGTTTACCTGAGCTTTAGACTTTCCAACATGTTTCTTCTGAAACAGGAACTGTCTGTTGAGGTTGCTGACATCAATGGTGTCCAGGTCAATCTGCAAATGAGGATAATTAAAAAAACTAAACATTATGAAGATAATTTAAAAAAACAACAACAATACTACACTTAGGGGCGTGCGATATTGACAAAAAATTATATCTTGATTTTTTCTGGGATTGTATCGATAACGATAATTAGACAATATTTTGCTGATTGTGTTATTGTGCTGATATCTTAAGGACTGCCGTGGACACCTGACTCCTAAAGTTTTTTATATTCTTCATATTCTGTGTGGTGGTCAGTTCATACTGATTGAATCTTTTCCAATAAATTTAAACTGATATTTACATTTTATGGGCATTTTTACCTTTATAAAGCCATTTTTTTAAATTGTCCATTATCTTTTGAGTCAAATTCTTACATTTAATCAGGGAATTAGAATAATAAGACATTTGGGCTGTTACCAAGCAAATTAAATCAACACAGAAGCTGCATCTGAAGTGGCATTTAGATGTATTTACACTCCGTTTAATGCAAGACATGAATGCATTTAACCTGCAATTACAAATGCATAAATAATGTTTTGATATATTAAACATAAAACGCTGAATACTGATTTGAAATGATTTAAAAAAAATAAAAAATCTAAAAATAAAAAAAAAGTCGAAATGTGAAATTAAAACCACCAATAGGTAAAACCAGCAAAATAGGCAAATCACTGTTAATAAGTGAGTCATTGCGATTTAACCGAATCATTTAAACGGTTGATTCATTCAGGAACGAAACACCGTCATGTTGCTCAGAGACGCAAGACTGTACTGTGGCTGTGTTTGGAATGATTTTTGTTGGTGAAATAGAGCAAACACAGGCAATATGGTGTCTAAAACGTAAGTCTCTTAATTAACTTAGTTTATTGAATTGTTGTAAAAAATCAATATCACATTTGTAATCATGGTAATTTTGGGAGAAAACCGGCACTCTTCGTGTGAAATTGAATAACTATATGAAGTGGTATAAATATATAAATTTTCTGCCCCCATGTTTGGAATTTGTGATCATTCTAAATGCATTATAATAGACTGAATCATGCAGTGAAAGTATGCACTCTAAATGCGCACACGCACTAGTCTAGACTTCACGTAATGTATGCGTGCGCTCTGTAAGGATGTTTTGAATGGTTTTTGCAAAATACTCGATAACGTCAAATCGCACATCGTTAAAACAACAATTACGATATATATCGCACACCCCTAACTACACTATGATAATCATTAAAGAAAGTGCAAAACCATGCTAGCATGTAACCACAATGCATTTTAAAGGGTCCCTAAAAGTCCCCAGGTTGTGTGCCATTGTAACGCACCATTTTTAAAATGGCATAAAATGCCATAATTAAACAATGCGTTTACTTGCATTATTCATTATTTAGTAACTAGAAATCAACTGCCAATTGTGCATTTCCCACATTTATAGTTTAATATTATTTTCAGTTTTATTATTACTTAGATATTATTTTTACCATGCATTTTAAAGCCAAAATAGGACACCCTAAAAAGTTGGTAGGGTGCCACTGTAACACTTAATAGCCTACATAAAAACACTGATAGCCTCATCAACAATCTTTTCAATATCAATGAAGTGTGTGCTTTTTTCACTTTATGCTTGTTACATTTGTCAGATTACAATCTTACCACAACCCTGTTACCATGATTTTGAACAGTAACCAACTGATTAAATTATATTACATATAGTATGCATATTTGTATAAAAACCCGCATTAAATTATCCTTCTAATAACCAGCTTGCAGTTTCATAACCCTATGCACAAGATTAATAATAGCTAAAACTATAATACTAGCAACCCTGTTACTTCAAGGACACAGTAGAAGCGGTATCACAGACGACAAGATGCTGTTTGTTAGAACTACATGTAATCTATGTCTGATACCATACCCTAGAATATTAAATTAATTTTCATTTTAAAATACTTTTTTCGAAACCGCACTTATTTCGAGGAACAATAATTACGGTAACTTGAAGTGAAGTGTGGCCACATTGGCCAATGTTGTCAAAGGAGATTGATTGCACGGCGGGAAAGAAAAGGGTTGGTTTATGTTTGGGATGGAACGAATAGCAATACGTTCATAAAATACATGATGTAATGAGTAATGCACTGGTTTATACAAGTCACGACTCTCATTTTCATTTCAGAATGTTATAAATGAGGCTCAGTGATAATGGGGCCTGATTCATGCAGCACAAAGAGAGTCCGCCTTCCTCCGACTTACCACTTCAATATTCTTAAAGCCGGTGAGCACCAGGTTTTTCAGCAGCTCGCAGCCGATGCCTCCCGCCCCGACCACCAGCACCCGGCAGGATGAGAGGGAGTCGGCGAGCTCTTTGCGGAGAGGTCCCACCAGTTGTGCCATTGTCGGCTCGGCGTTTCGGCGGCGCGGACAAGCAGGAGTTTGATCCAGCGCTGAGGGAAGAGACGCGCGGCAGGTGCGCATGCGCAGAGGACGAGCGCGCTGCACAAAAGCGTGTAACTCGCAGCTGGTTTTACTGGCGACCTCTGTTGGTGCGGCTGAGCTACATTAAAGGGGTCATATGATGCGATTTCAATTTTTCCTTTCTCTTTGTAGCGATGGGAATTTCGGATCATTTTACCGACTCGGACCTTTGAGTCTCGTTCAGCAAAATGAACGAATCTTTTTTCGAGTCATTTCGTTCATTTTAACAAAATATAATTAAAATGTTACGTGTTACTTCCCTAATATGTCTACTGCTTTCGCAAACGTTGATCACACTACAAACAATACAAAACTGCTTTTATCCAAGTGTATTATTATTAATAATCGTTTTTAATTATTACATTTATATAGTATTATTAAAGTTGTGACATTTTAATGTTAAATATTTAATACTTATATTTTACATTGTAAATCATTGCGTTTGAAATTAAGAATAATACATATTAAATAATACATTTCATATTTATATAATAAATTATTATATTTGCATCAGGATTTCATGATACATATTCATATTTGAATTAAATATTGATCTGTTAAGTGTTCTTTTTGTTAATGAATGATGCATGAAGTTTTCACAAAAATGATTTCCATTATGTACTACAACACGTTTCCATTCTAGTTTAATATTTGTATATTGAAAACCCATGTCAGCGCATGTACTTTTTTTCCTTTGTAAAAATGCTGACTGTGGAAAATTAATTTGCCATTGTGAATTTAACTCATGTTGGCTAATTGATGAATTACAGTCCTTCTGTGCTTTGGACATAAGGAATGCAATGCAGATATTATTTTACACAAGTTGAAAATAATTAAAGGACGTATGACTTTCTTTCATGCAATGGGCATCAGCAAAAAAACTGCTACTGTCAGAAGATGTGCTGTAAATTTATGACACCTGTATTTTATCTTCTCACGATCTCTGCTTGCAAAAAGCATGCAAACCAGTATAGCAAATGTGATTCTCCGTGTGGGCTTTGAAGAGGAGGGGGACTGCAGTATATTTCCTTATCAAACCACAGATCTGAGTTTCTATCTAGCATCACGTCCGAAAATCATTTAAATATTTGGTGCAGACTCAGATTGACTCAGACATCTGTAACAACTCATTTTTAAAGCTTGAAGATCAACTTCAGATCAGAAACTATGAGAGCATCTTCTTTGTGTCTGGTGTTCGGGCTGGTCCTGCTGATGGCCTGGACTTCTGAGGCTCAACGTAAGTTCTCTTGAAGTACAGTTTTGCTTCTGACTAAATTATTATTTATGTAAGACATGCAGTTGTACATAAAGTTTAAGTGATTAAATGCACTGTAAAAAAAAATCCGTAAAATTTACGGTAAAAACCGGCAGCTGTGGTTGCCGGAATTTTACCGTAAAAAATACGGTAGCAACGTTTTAGGTTTTAACTTAAATTTACAGTTAAATACCGTAATTTAATTTGATATAATGTTAATATACCAACCTATTGAAGTACTGAATACACTGATAACCACCAAATGCAGGTTATCAGTGCCCATCACAAGCAGCTTTTAGATAATAACATATATAGAAGGTGCACAGTGTCATTCATACAAACACCAAACAGCATCATGGTAACACAGATGAAACTGAAATAATGCAATAAACATTAATTTAACAACATTAGGTGTAACACACAACCCTAATATACAAAACTGATAAGAAAAAACTAAGAAGAAACATTATTTCAACAAAAAAACATCCAATTTTAAATGTAACGCAGGGAATTCTGGGAATGTCAATTTACGGTTATTCATTGTAAATTATACGGTATTTTTCACTTCCGAAAACGGTATACTACCGTAAAATTGATGTCCAATACATGTAATGTCCAATACAGTTTTTCACCGTATATAGTAGGGGAATTTACCGTTAACCATTTAACAGGCTTTTACTGTAGCATTTTTACAGTCTTTTACCGTTAAATTCACGGTAATTTTTTTACCAATTAGAATTAGAATTAGAAACAAAAGAATTGTACAGCCATGTAACATTAAGAGGAACCTTTGCATGTTCGTCAATGAACTTTGAATTCTCCAGTAAGCTAAAAATATACATAGAGAGCTTGAAAGAACCCAGAAACAAACCGATATGCTGATTAACCAGCCAGATATGGCCCTTCACGGAACCTAAAGGTCTAGAATAATATCAAAATAATATTTGGTATTTCATGGTTCTGTCCTAAAACTAGATGATATATTTGATCTCCCCAACAGCTGCTGCTCCTGCAGTCCCTGAGAGGTGTTGCTTCAATTTTATCGACTTTCAAATTCCAGAGAAAAAAATTGTGAGCGCTGTGAAGACAAGTTCAGATTGCCCTTCCCCTGCCATTGTGTAAGTATTTAACTCTCAAATATATTATTTAGAAAAACTGCCAGATGCTCCTTTTAAAGTGTAGACAAATGATCAAAAAGATTTTGTGTATGTATGAACATGTGAACTTTCCCCCCCCCGCAGGGTTACGACACCTAAAACCGAATTTTGTGTGAAACCAGAAGAGGCTTGGATAAGGACTTTTATGGAGAAGCAGCTTATGAAATAAAAACACGACACATTATGCACAAAATAATACTGTTTCTGCTTTATACAACTGTCCTTTCTTAAGAAACTGAATTATCAGCTTAGAAATAGAATGGCATCTTTGTAATGATTTTTCTATTAAAACAACATACTAGAAGATTTGTGTGTGGTTGTAGGTCCAGGAAACTCAGTAAAGGTGAGTGTTTGAAACATCTGAGTTTCTATAACATCACACTGGGAAAATATTTTAAGCATGAAGCAGCCTCTAATTCATTCAGATTAGACACCAGGAGAACATCTTGCGTTCTGGTGTTTGGACTTCTGAAACTCAAAGTAGGTTCTCTTGTAGTCTGAATTATTTATATACATATTTACAAAGGTGTACACACTTTAATACAAGGATACAGTTGCTCTGCAGAGAAATTACTCATATTTAGTGTAAAAATCAGTTTTCTGAAGAATAATGTTGTTTTTTAACAGCTTCTCCAATCTCTCTCAATCTTTTCAAATTCCACACATTATTTTTAAAATATACTGTGTCACAGAAATTCAAACAAACATATTAAATGTTAACTTTTTTCCTCGACATCTAGAGGCAAATTTTGTCTGAAAGTAGACGTTGCTCAGAGAAAGAGAGAGACGTGAGCTTTTTCAGTGAAAATGCAACCGTTGTATCCAAAATAATAATGTTCGTTGTTCAGAAACATTTCCTTTCTAAACGCGATTTTGTTCCAGATTGATTAATTTTTATGTAACAAATTTATATAAAAAAATAAATAAATTCCAATGATACTGGAATATATTACAAAAAAGAAAAAAAAAGAAACCTTTTTATATATCATACCAGACGAGGCTTATATTTTATTTCCTTTTCAATACAGAAACATAAACCATTTATCCATAGCTTTGCTTTTCAACGCATACATGCTTAGCTCTGTCGTAACTCTGCACTTGCTTCTGTCTGTCTGTCTCATTCTCCATCACACCCATACGAACCTACCATAAGACCATCTTAACACTAAGATATGTGAATGTGGACAGCAGAGTTGAACATGTCTGTCTGTACAGTCAGAAATTGTTACAAAGATGAAGTATTGTTTGTAATAACCACAATTTAAAGTAATGTTGGTCAATATTCTCACTCTAATCGAAAGGTCGTGAACAAACACTTGACATACTGGGCATGTGGTGCAATATAATAGTCAACCAGAAGAGTGCGGTAAAGTTGTGTGTGGGTGTGACTATAAAAATATCATTCATGGTGCAATGGAATGTGCAGTTAACTGTACCCTAGCACTCCAGCATGCGTTTCTTATGGGGTCATAAAACATCAGAGCATCAAAAGAGATGCAAGGAGTTTCTGGTTTTATAAGGAATGGAGCTTCATGATGTCTTTAAAAGATTTTTCCTTTTTTCTTGTTCTTTTCCATTGTCCTGAGAAAAAATAAAAGACAAAAACATTAGTAAAGAAATTGATTAAAATAAAAATTGTTAGTTATGGTTACTGTACATTTGAATATTTTTCATATTTTAATATGTCCTCTATTTAAATTTTTAATAATTGATACTATTATTTTCTTTTTATGCCACTGCTTGTTATGCATACTGATTGCAATACTATACACTAGTTTAAGGTCAGAATTTTTTTTTTTGTTGGTTTATTTATTTATTTTATTTTTTATTTTGTTGGAAAGAAAATAATACTCAGCAAGGAGATCATAAGTATGACTGTAAAGACTTTTATAATGTTACAAAAATTATTTAAAATAATTGCTGTTCTTTTTAACTTTCTATCAAAAATCCTGGAGCGGAAAAAACTACAGACCACAAACTTTTGAACAGTAGTGCATGTATAACATACTAATTAAAAAATTATAACTAAAATTAAGTTCAAAACAAACCACAATATGCAGAATTCAATATCTTCAATATCTCATAAATGATTAAATCATAACCTTTATCAAATTAAAATGTAAAATATTAATTTTCAAATACACAACTAAATTATTATTATTTTTTTAAATACTAAAACTTTATTTCAG